AGGGGCTCGGGGACCCGGCCCTGGGCAGCGGGGGGGAGTAGCGGTGGAGGGTCGAAGGCCAGAGCGCGGGCGGGAGAGGCTATGAAGGGGGCCCCGCTTGGTGAGGCCATCAAGGAACGAGACGGGTGGGGGCGCCTGGCCCCGGGGAGCCCTGTGTACCCCGAGCGGCACCAGCATCGAGCGCGCCTGCTGTCCTTCCAGTTGACTGAAGCGAGGGAGCCGGCTTCCGGAGCCTCGAGGCGGGATCTAGGGGCCTCGTGGGGTTGCAGCCGATGGTCTGAGGGCATCGCAGACATGGCTCACCTCAGGGGCTTCGCCAACCAGGTAAGGCTGGTTCCGGGATGGGGGGTGTGCGGCAGCGTGCCTGCCCCGCCCCCGCACGTGGGAGCGCCGACCGCCGCGTCCCGGGAAGACGTTTATTTCACCCACGAGCGTGTCACCTGAACAGCGCCTGGGCTTTCAGGAGAGCCGCCCGCTGAGGACCCCGCTCCTCCGGGGACTCCGAGGAGGGGGCAGTGCAGAGGGGCTGCTGCCTCGGGGCGGCTGGTGCGGGTTTTGGGGGGCAGATGCGCGCAGACTTCTCAGAATAGAAGCCCCCCCGCCCCGCGCAGGAGTGGAGGGTGTGCGGAGGCTGACCTTGGGAGCAGAGCGGGGCCGGGCGGCGCTGGTGGGTTTGTCTGGGAACCTGGGTGGCTGCGTTTGCGGGGTCCCGGGGCCGGGCCGGGGGCATGCCGGGCTGTGGCAGAGGCTGGGGGTCCCCTCCCTGGGGGCGCGATGAAGCCGCCTCGGGTGACTTGGTGTGTCGGGAGAGCTGAGGGCCCCAGTGTGTTTCTGTCGGGGTTTCTTGGGAAGGCTGCTCTAGGAGTGCGTCACCTGGGCCGGAAGTGCCTGCCTGCAAAGTTCTTGTGCTTCCCCACCCGAACCACTTTGCGGCGTCACCGGCGGGCTCTGGGGGACCCCCCACATCCGGCCGGAGTCTGTCCAGCTCCAGGGGAGCCGGCTGCTGGTGCTGGGACGTGGTGGCGGCAGCCAGCGTGGGGGCTTGTGGTTGGTTCCCCTCCCCGTTTTGTTGTCTCAAAACAAGGGCGATGGAGGCAGCACGGAGACTTTTCCTAGGTGCTGGCGGTGTGGTCGTGTCCTCAGTGGGCTGGCTGCTGCAGGGTGATGGGATGGCCCGTTAGCCCCCCTCCGCTGGCATCTGCCCCGGGGAAGGTGTGGACGGGGAAGCCTGTGGGGCTCCCATCGAGCGGCGCGTCCTGCACCAGCTGTGGCCACAGATGGGAACCGAGCCTCGCTGGTTGATGCCGAATGGGGCTAGCAGATTCCTCTCTAGGCTTTGACATTTCTGTCTGGTAAGTCACATTACTGGTACGCAGAGAAAACTCGGCCTCGAGCTTATTTTCAAGAGCCGCAGGGTACATTTTGCACCCAGAAAGAGCCTCCCTTGCCTTACCCCGCCCCGCCCCCCATCCTGCTGCTGGTGAGTGGCAGAAGCTGCAGAGAAAGCACCGGAGAACCAAGCCGGTGATCGTGAAGTGACTGTATCGAAGCTCACCTTGTAAGTTCCACGGCTGCAGCTCCAAGTGCACAGGAAGCCCCAAACCCATGTGTGAAGGGCTTTGACATTCATTGTCAAACTTGAGAGGCGGTTAGAAAGGTGCGGGTTAGAAAGAGAGAATTGATTTGGAAAAAAAACAAAACACTTTGTCTGGGTGACATTTACTCGTTCAGTAAACGTTTATAGAGCACTTGCTGCCAGTCTCTCTGCGCTAAGCCTTTTGCGTGTGTAGCTCTCGTGGTTCCCCTCAGCCTCACCACACAGGTGCCGTCGTCACCCTGGGTTTAAAAACTCGGTGCTTAGAGATGTTAGTCGGCTAGAAAGTGGCAGATCGAGGCTTCGGATCCAAGTCTACCTGGGGTGACGCTCCCAACCGTCCTGCAGTCCGATGGCAGGATGTGTCTGTCGTCGCGGCTTCATTGTTTCTCCCAATGAATCAGAAATACCCTTTACCATTCTTCTTTTCCCTCTTAGAACACAGGAAGGAAAAAAAGCTGTGGGAGTAGTTTCCGTGGCTCCCGGAAATCGGAGCCCTGAGCTGCCCCCGTCCCCGTGTGCGGTCGGTGCTTCGTGTCGGCCCTCGGCGTCCAGATCAGACGGGGAGAAGGGACCCCTCAGGAACGAAGCCCCCTTTGTCCTTTCAGAGGCCAGTGGCAGGGAGCCTGTCAGTGTATCATTTTCTCTTGAGACAGTTGTCACTGTGGCTCCGTGGGGCAGTCCCTGCTTGGGGCAGTAGGCTGTGCTCCCCACAGCCTGCCCTCCCGCCCTCCTCATCTCCCCTCCCCCCCCCAGCCTCCGCTTGTTCCTGTGCTGCCACCTGGTCGTGTGGTGGGTGGGGATGGCTTCGCTCCCCCCATTTCGTGAGGTGACATTAACAGCAGACACGCTGCCAGGCAGCGGCCACAGACCTGGCAGCCTCAGGGTTGGAGGACAAGGGTGTCAACCCCCAGAGCCAGTCGAGCTTTTGAGCTGTTCCAGCATCGCCTGGAAAAGCAGCCCGAGGCCCCCAGACCCAGGAGCTACTTGCCTTTCCTTCTCCCGGCGGGGCTGGGAACAGGTGGGCCCTGTGACATTCTTGTAGCGTCAGGCTCGCAGCCAGGCGTGTGCACGTGTCACACTGTCTGCTGAGTTGACTGGCCTGCAGTCGGGGGGGACTCAAGAGTATGAGAGTCGGGGGTTGCGGCTCCCCGCCTTCCTTGCCAAGCCAGGAACTCTGGCTTAGGGTCCGCCGTGTTCTCCCGGGCAGTGGGGGTCTGAGTGCCCCGTCTGGGGGTTTCCCTTGTTGGGTTGCTGGCCCTGCGTGGAGAGGGCCGCGGTGTTCTCAGCAGGGCTGAGGGGAGCGGAGCAGGAGGACGTGTTGCCAGCAACTGCCTGACGGTGGGAAGGGGACCCGCTTATTGGTGCTGCCTGCTGTCCGTCCCACCTCCTCCAGCTCTTCTCTCAGGGCACCTTAGGAGAGGGACTCTCTTCGGCGACAGAGGACACGAGGTCAGGGCACCAGCTGGACTGGAGTTACTGGACAGCCGTCGTGGGGTGTCCTGCAGGGCTGTGCCAGCCCTTCTGGGGCAGGGGACAGGCTGGCGGTCTGGTGGACCGCCGCCCCCGGCACCGAATAGGCGGTGACGGCCGAGTCGATGGCAAGAGCCTCTGGGAAGGTGCTGTTTGGGCAGATGCGGAAGGAGCAGGTCCGGGAGGGGCCATGTCCCAGACCATGACCCACCGCGGCAGCCAGGGAACAGCGAGGTCCCCCACCCGCTCGCGGAGAAGGCCCTCCGGCAGGAAGGTGTTCTTGTCCGGCCGCCGGCTGGTCGCGTGTGGGGTCGCGTGTGGGGCCGGGGTTGGCGGGATGGCGCAGGTGCCCTGCCGGGCCTTTCTTTCGGGTGGGGGTGGGTTCTGGCCACGTGATCCGCGCCACCCCCTTCCCGAACACAGCCGACTGGCTGCAACTCGCGGCCACATGCCTAACCTGTCCTGGTTTTCTTGACACGCGCGGCAGGAATGGAGATGCCCGGCGGTTGGGCCCGAGGGACCCGAGTGGCGCTCAGCTCTGTGTCCTGCTGAAGCCTTCAGCCTTGGCTTGGGGACTCGGTGGTAACTTGACCGCGTGCACCCGCTGCGCCTTGTCCTCTACGCGCACTGGCTTGGGGACTGGGCTGCTGGTTCTGGTGAGGAAGCGAGGAGGGCCACGTTCCTGAACCAGCTGGGCCAGCGTGTGGGTGGTGCCCGGCCCAGCCCGCCCCGTCTGTGGGGACTGTGCTGAGTGCTGCTCTGCCCCTTGGTCCCGGCCAGGCCCCGCTCCATCTGCTGTCCTGCGGGGCTCCTGGCACCCGACGGCCCCTGCTGTCCTGGCTCTCCGGGTGCTCGGAATCAGGGCTGCTCACCTGTGGGCCTGTGTGCTGCCCCCTCCCTCCCGGTCGCACACCTCGGGAAGGCGGCTAATTAGCAGTTTCTGTTGACGCGTAGTCTCTGTCTGGAGCCGGTCAGGCCCGACGTGGAGCTTTGCTGGGGGTGAGCCCAAGGTGGGCCCCGTGTGTGTGCCGAGTCCATGCGTGGAGGGCTCTGCTCGGGACCGGGGGCGCCCACCCACCGCAGGATGGGCCGTCCCTCGGGCCGATGAGGCACGGGAAGCCGTACTTTTCTCCCTCGTGTACCCGGCACCAAGATGCTCTGTTGCCGGTGGTGCTGGGGCTGTGGCAGCGGCCTCTGTGCCGGGAGGTGCCTCCTGGTGGATCTGAGTCTCGGGGCCTTGGAAAACCCTTTCTGCCTCTGCCTGGACAAGACGCTAGGCTCCCACCCTCCTGGCCCCCTGCGTCGCTCTGGGGCTGTGTGGACTGCTGCTGGCTCTCTGAGGACACAGTGGCTTGGCGTTCCCAAGAGAGTGCTGTTCTCGGGAGCCCGGGGGGCCACGTGCGCAGGGGTGTTGCCTCCTTCGGGCAGCCCCCCAAAGGCTGAGCGCCATCTCAGCCCCTGACGTGTGGAAGGGCAGTGTCAGGCGTGTGAGTGTCCGCCCGCGGGCGGGCGGGCGCCCCTCTGCCGGCCGCGCCCTGGTGCTCAGACCTCTGGGCGCTCTTTTTCAGGCTTTGAATTGAAGTCCGAGGACAGGACAGTGCGCTGGTTTTGCGTGGTACTTGAATATCCAGGATTAAGCATCCAAGACAGCATCAGTTTTCAACTCCCCGCTGGTGTGAGGGTGGAGCTGTCTTGAGGACTGATTTGGGGACCAGAAGGGAAGCCGTTTCCGGGGGGTGTGGCTCCCAGGTGTGCAGGGAGAACCGGCTGACGCCATAGACTCTTGCTCAGGAGGACTTCGGGGGGGTCCGGGGAACCTAGCGCGCCGGTACCTCCCTCCCCCGCCCCCGAGTCTAGCTGGGGTGTGTTTGTTACAAACGAAGAGGCAGCATGGGTATGTTCTTGCGAACTAGGCCCCTGGTCCGCGAGACTGTGTCGGTGCTGTCCCCACTGTCCCCGCTATCCTATGGGATAGCCTCGCTGCCCCCAAATCCCCATTTCCTACCCACGTATCCCCTTTAAACTTGTCCTTGTGCCTCACTTGGCCCTCCCCACGTGTCCACGTGTGGGGTGTGGGCAGGTAGGGCATGACCTTCACGGTCTCTCCACCTGCTCCACAGCCTGGTCCCTTGGCTGCTGCGGGGGCCTCTGTGCTCCTTTGTGGGGAGGGTACGTTTAGGTTTCCTGAACAAAGAGGTAAAAGCAGCAAGGAGAGCGGTGCCTGGCCGGCTCAGTCAGAAGACCGCGACTCTTGATCTTGGGGTTGTGAGTTCAAGTCCCACAGTGGGTGTAGAGATTATTTAAAAAGCGTCAACTTAAAAAAAAATGTGGGTGGGCTCCCTAGCTCCTCATTTTGGGGATTGCCACCTCCTCCAGCAGGGTCACCCTCAGTCTGCCTGCTCCGTGTCTCTACAGCACTCACGTGTGGACCCCGAGGAGCTCTTCACCAAGCTCGACCGTATCGGCAAGGGCTCCTTTGGGGAGGTATACAAGGGCATCGACAACCGCACCAAGGAGGTGGTGGCCATCAAGATCATCGACCTGGAGGAGGCCGAGGATGAGATCGAGGACATCCAGCAGGAAATCACTGTGCTCAGCCAGTGTGACAGTCCCTACATCACCCGCTACTTCGGCTCCTACCTGAAGGTGCCTGTGGGGTGGGGGCTCGCTCCATGCCAGGCCTGCGCTTGGGTAGATGCCCGTGACCGCCGCCCCCCACCCAGGCTGCCTCCAGAGAGGCAGAAAGTCCCTGTACCTGCTCGGGAGGCCCGGGCTGGGTCTGCCCCCACATGGGGACGGTGGGGACAGGCCGGGTCTGAAGGATGAGGGCGCTCAAGAAACTACAGTCCCGAGGGCCAGGTAGGCATGTAGGACATGAATGCGACCTAGTTGGCTCTGAAGTGGCCGTGGTGTCTCACTTCCTGGCTGTGCCGTCTCCCAGGCCAGGGCAGCCCCACGGCACAGCGTCTTTGAGCCCATCTCCCGCTCTGCCCTTGGGGGCCCGCCCAGGGGGCCGCCTGGGTGCAGGTGCCCGCAGGCCGAGTGCCGGCTGGACATGTCATGCCTGCAGCCTGGTTCCCATTGGGGTACTGGCATGGGGGACCTGGCCACCGGCCTGAGCACTGGGTCCATCTACACACACACACACATCAGGGCTGTGACAGGAGGGGGGCTGGATAGGGGCCCCTGGGGCCTTTTTGCGGTGGGTCCCTGAGGGTTGGTCCCTGAGGGTTCCTGAGGGCTGGAGGCCTGAGTCTCCCCTGCCGGGGAGTGTGTGTGTGTCTTGGGGCCGTGGCCTTGAGCTCATGGGCGTTTCTCTGGGCCCAGGGCACGAAGCTGTGGATCATCATGGAGTATCTGGGCGGAGGCTCCGCGTTGGACCTGGTGAGGCATAGGCTGCGGCAGTGGGCGGCTTGTCGTGGGCAGGAGTGGACACAGGAGGTGGCTGTGGGGCTTGGGGCAGCAGCCCTGGACCCACTGCCTGAGGACCCCTGGCTCCTGTGGGCCTCCGGTCCTTGGCTGCTTCGGTGTGGTGCGTGCTAAGAGCCTTCTCAGCCCAGAAGTGAACTGGGGTCCATTTCCGCTGGTTTCCCAGGGGTTCTGGGCTGGTGGGTGCAGGCGGGTCAGCGCCCCCAGGTACGTGGGCTCGGCAGTGGCCGGGACCCCCTTCACGCCAGCGGAGAGAACGGTAGATACCGTCTGGAGAGAGCCTCCCCCACTCCCACCTGACTCAGCATCTGAAGTCCACTTGTCCCCTGGTGGAGGCCGCGGCCGTGGGGCTGGGATTGGCGTGTGCCGGTGGGGGTGCCTGAGGCCCTGCTGTCCCTTCTCTGCCTGCAGCTGAAACCCGGGCCCCTGGAGGAGACGTACATCGCCACCATCCTGCGGGAGATCCTGAAGGGCCTGGACTACTTGCACTCGGAGCGCAAGATCCACCGAGACATCAAAGGTCCCCGGGGGCGCGGCCCCTGTCCCTCGTCCCCGTCCCCTCCAGACCCTAGAAGCGCCAGGGTGCGAGGTGGAGGTCGCTGCGAGGGGTGTGCGGCTGGCGGTGCTTGGGGGTCTGGGATGCGGGGACCCTTGTAGTTCGGCGCTTCTGGCCTGAACTCCCTTGGGCGGTCCGACGCTGAGCGGTGCCGTCTTGCTCTGTTCCTGAAGATGCTGCCAGTAACAGAACTTTCCGAGTATGTTGTGCCCGTACGGTGGGGACACCACCTCTGCTCCTCGGGTCGGAAGGGACCTGATTAAAGCAGACGTGTGGATTTTTGCTCGTGGTCTCCTGAGCGCCCAGTGTGTGATCCAGCGGCCCCACCGTGGGAGCCGGCCCTGCCAAGGGCAGCCGGGGGTGTGAGGGCGAGGGCCAGAGTCACTTCTGCCTGCTTTGCCGTTTGGGAGAAAAGGGCGGCGGCTCTGTTCTTGGGGTTTGTCATATAAGGCACACTCTGGGAAGGCCTGGACCTCGTGCCCAGGCGGGCCCCTCCCGCAGCCACCCCCCCCCGGCTGTGCACGTGGTCCGGGGTGCCTGGCCTGCCGGGTGCCGAGGAGAGCTAAGGTCCCTGAGCCAGACCTGCTGGCGTCCCCAGGTAGCCCTGTGCTTCCTCAGGCAGCTGTGTGCAGGGGGAGGGGCCCTGCGCGGCGCTGAGGGTGACCCCCTACCGTCCTGTGTCGAGCAGCCGCCAACGTGCTGCTCTCAGAGCAGGGTGACGTGAAGCTGGCCGACTTTGGTGTGGCGGGGCAGCTCACAGACACACAGATCAAGAGGAACACGTTTGTGGGCACCCCCTTCTGGATGGCACCCGAGGTCATCAAGCAGTCGGCCTACGACTTCAAGGTGGGTGCGGCGGGCGGCAGGGGGGCCGCCGCGTGGCTTGGGGCCCCCCCGGCGGCAACAGTCCTGTATGGGTCTCTGTCCAGGCTGACATCTGGTCGTTGGGCATCACGGCCATCGAGCTGGCCAAGGGCGAGCCTCCGAACTCTGACCTCCACCCCATGCGTGTCTTGTTCCTGATTCCCAAGAATAGCCCGCCCACCCTGGAGGGCCACCACAGCAAGCCTTTCAAGGAGTTTGTGGAAGCCTGCCTCAACAAAGACCCCCGATTCGTAAGGCCTGTCTCACCCTGGCCGCTGGGGCCCTGGCTCTGTGGGGTGGGCCGGGAGGAGGCCTGAGCGGCTGAAGGCGGTAGGGGCGGCTCTGGGACCGGGCCCCAGAGAACGGCCCCGTGGGAGGGGACGGGGCCTGAGGCCCCTTCCTTGCGCCCAGCCTCGCCCAGCCCCGAGCGCCTCCTGATCCAGAGCGGGCCCTGGCCAGGGGCTGAGGTCTGGGGGAGCTCGAGGCGGGTGTTTACCTGGTGTGGAGGGGGATGTGTTCCACCCCAGCCTGCTGGTGGCCTCGTCCCTCTGGTCCCCGGGGGGAGCCGTGAGCTCCGGGAGTGTAAAGGCAGAGCTCAGCCGTCCCTGGCGTCCGCTGACCTGTGCCCTTCCTTCGGCAGCGGCCCACTGCCAAGGAGCTGCTGAAGCACAAGTTCATCACCCGCTACACCAAGAAGACCTCCTTCCTCACTGAGCTCATTGACCGCTACAAGCGCTGGAAGTCGGAGGGGCACGGCGAGGAGTCTAGCTCCGAGGACTCCGACATGTAAGGGCCCTTCTGGGGGTCACGCCCCCTGATGGCCGTGGGCCTTGTGCCGTGGGGGGTCAGTGGGCCCCTAGGGCCCCAGGGCGGGCCTACTCGACATTTAGGGCCATGAGGTTGTCTCCAAAATCAATGGGGAGACTAAGGGCAGGTGTGGACCTTGGGACCCCCAAATCCCAGCCCCCATGCTCCTCACGACCCTTCTCACCTTCCACTGTAGTGACGGAGACACTGAGGATGGAGAGCAGGGCCCCCTCTGGACGTTCCCCCCCACCATCCGGCCGAGCCCCCACAGCAAGGTGCACAAGGGCACAGCCCTGCACGGCTCCCAGAAGGTCTGACCTGGCTGGGGGGTGGGGGGCAGGCACCCAGGCCTGGACACCTCACGGGCTGCACCTTTTAAGGAGGTCAGAAAGCTGGGAGGGGGGCGGGGCACGCCTGACCCTGGGGCACACTCACTCTCATCACCCTGCCGGGGCTTTGACTTGGCAGTCTGCGGAGCCCGCCAAGAGGCAGCCGAGGTCCCAGTGCCTGTCCACGCTGGTCCGGCCTGTCTTTGGAGAGGTAAGGGCCAGGTCAGGGGGTCCCCTGGGGCAGGAGGCTATCGTGCTTCCCTGCACACGCTGTCCCCACGTTGTGACCTTGAGGTTTATCAGGAGGTGTGCTGGCCAGCCCCCCCCCCCCCCCCCCCCCCCCGCCCCCCGCGTGTGGGGCTTCTGGGCCCTTTGAAGCCCATTGTGGTTGGACCTGGACCTGGGGGCCAGGCTTTCTGAGCAAAGCAGAAGCGGCTGGGAGAAAGTACTTTAATGTGACCTCCCCAAGTTCTCCCCCTGCTGTGGTGGTTTGGGGTCTCAGGATGGCTTTGATCGAAAACTCCTGTGACTTTTATTTTGAACTGCAAACGCATGGGATGGTCATCTGTTGAGACAGAGCCTGGGAGGTTCAGTTCTCAGTGCTGGATGTCGGGCCCAGGGCAGGGAGGCCTCAAGGGTCATGCGACCCTGCATGTCACCTACCAGTGGGGGGTCGATAGCACCCCAGGGACCCCCACACCCTGGACTTGGGGCTGGCAGTAGGTCAGGGGCCCAGTTCCCACCGCAGGCCCAGAGAGGGAGGAACGGGGTGCTGAGAGCCTTCCTGAGGCAAGCGGGCCCTTGGGTATCCGCTGGGGGGCAATGGGTAGAGGCGGGAGAGCTCCCACCGGGAGGGGCCTGATATTCAGGGGAGGAGGTTGGGGAGGAGCAGGTGGCAAGAGCGGTACTGTCGGGCCATGGACCAGGAGCTTGGGCTCAGCTGGGACACGTCCCCACCCTGGGGAGGGAGGCGGCCAGTGTCACAGGAGGGCCGGGGCTGTAGCGCCCCGGGCCGCTTGGAATGTGTAGAGTGGAGGGGTGGGGCCCTGGGCTGCTGGAGCCCCTGTACCGTGTGTGTGGGGAGGTTGGGGGGGAAGCATAGCCTCATCCAGGTGGTCGGGGCCCCCCGTGGGGCCTGATTCTGTGGGCGGGGCCTGAGGTGGAAGGCCGCTGGACGGGGTGTGCTAGGAGGCACCCTTGTAGTTTCTGTGAGGGGTGTGGCAGGGGACCCGGGTGACCTGCTTCTAATCCCCAGGGCGGTGATGCCTCCATCTGGTTCTCACAGTCCCCGGTGGTGGTGGGGCCCAGGGTCAGGATGCCTTGATCTGGCTGTGCCGCGCACTGGGGGGGGTTTCTGGGCTGTTCTCTCAAGTTTGCGGGGCCTGAGGCACGGGGTTTCTGTGACCCTTGGGAGGAAGCCACGTGGTTAGCCCGGCCCACTGTAGCGTGACGGTGACGGGCCAGTAGAGACCCCTCTCGAGAACGGAGTTGGGAGATTCCCTCAGGCGTGGGGGTGGGGCAGCATCTGTCTTTGCGGGAACCCTGGGGGACCCGGCCCACCCTAGCTCTGTGGTGGACCGACGGCTGGGGTCCCGCAAACGCAGGTCACAGCGAGGGGCCGGGAAGCCTTCCGCGGGAGCTTCCTTGTGGGAGCGTCAGAGCCGAGGGCCCCGGGGTCGGCAGTTCCGGTCAGGCTCCCGGTGGTCTCTCCGCAGCTCAAGGAGAAGCACAGGCAGAGCGGCGGAGGCGTGGGGGCGCTGGAGGAGCTCGAGAACGCCTTCAGCCTGGCCGAGGAGTCCTGCCCTGGCATCTCGGACAAGCTGATGGCGCACCTGGTGGAACGGGTGCAGAGGTGAGGCCCGGGGCGCCGGCCTTGTCTGCGTCGGCTTCTCTTTTTCTCTCCTCTTTTTCTCTCCTCTGGAGCCTCGGGGCCTGCGAGGAGAGGCTGCGGCCCTCGCGGCCCCCGGCGGGCTGTGCTCAGAGGCTCGGGTCAGAACGCGGGCCTCCCCCACCCTGTCCAGGGCCGCGCCCCTCCTGGCCGGGAGTGACCGCGTCTCCCCCGCTCCGCAGGTTTTCCCACAACAGAAACCACCTGACGTCATCCCGCTGAAGGCGCTGCTGCTTGAGAAGTGGGGAGAAGGGTCTTTGTGTGGAGCCCCCTGTGCTGTCGTGGCCACGTGGGCCTCACTGCCGGGTCACCGCCCCCCCACCCGCGCAGAGGGTCCCTCTTCCACGTCCCCTCTTGGCAGCGGAGCACCGACCTGCAACCACGTGGCACGAGGAGCAGAGACTGTCGGGGCAGCCCTGCCTCCTCCCCTGCCTGGGGCCCACCGAGGCCGCGCCGGGCCCAGGTTTGCTTCGTGTCGCATTACCGTGTCTCCCAAGGACTCGTTTCGGCCAGGATTTTTTTTTTTTTTTTTTT